CTATGAACTTTGATAAATATTGATAGATGCTGAGGGGCTACTGGCCCTTTGTTCATAGGGTCGCTATGAGTTGTGCTCAACTCAAAGGGAATCAACAACAACAACAACATGATGTACAGAGAAAGGGAAAAGAAAAAGCTCCACAAATTAGTACTCAACTTTGCCCAATATGTTGGAGTTGTTACGTGCTGTTGACTTGACTATGACTCTTAGCAACCCTATGAATAATGGCTTTGAACTTTGCCCTATCCTGAGCTAACCTCAATGTGTCCAATGAACTTGACGCCATTGCCATAGTCACTATGTCAATTCATCTCATCCAGCATCTTTCTTGCGACTGACCCTGCTGACAACATACCCGAAGTATGTGAGACAGAGTTTAACAATCTTTGCCTCCAAGGAGCAAACTGGTTTCACCCTCTCCAGGACAGATTTGTTTATTCTGTTGGGTGTCCATAGTATGTTCAATATTCTTCTCCAGCACCACAGTTCAAAGACATCTATTCTTCTCCTGTCATCCTTAGTCATTGTCTAGCTCTCTGATGCATAACAAACAATTGAGAATACCACTGCCGGCATTAAGCACACCTTAGTCTCCAGTCTGACATCATTGCTCTGTAGCACTCTGGAGAGTTATGTGACAGCAGCTTTTCCCAATGCCACTCATCTTTTGATTTCCTGACTGCTGGTGCCAAGAGTGTTGATTACGGATCCAAACTAGGTAAACGAATTAACAAGGTTCATCTTATCTCCCTCTATCATGATACTGTCTTTTATTTTCTACTAGTTTATTTACAAAATTTGAATACATGGTTTTCAAGAACAAATCTTTCATTTTCCCTCAGGGTGAAGATTTTTGTTTTCTTGATGTTTAGATGCAATCTATATTGAAGGCTTCTGTCCTTGATTTCTGCATCAGTTGCTTGAAATTTGCCAATATAGGGACTCAAAATACTTAACAATGAAATTCATGAAGAGTTTGCTAATTACAATCTATTGATTAGAGTTGGTTAAGCAAGTCCTTTAGTTTATAACATCACCATAGACCTTATAACAATTACTATTTTTATCTCAAATTGACATATTTTTTAAAATTAGACTGTAATTCAAGTTTTTCTTCTAGCTGAATAAATAGGACCTTCTAAGAACTCTGAATTAGTGAGTTGTGACACTCCAACACTCCATCATCCAAAATAATAACAAGTCTAGACTTTTTTTAAGAAGGAAGTAGAATTTCAGTCTGCAAAGCTCCCTGAATTTTCCACTCATTATTATTTCAATAGATTTGAAAGGTCAAAACAATAAAAAAGGAAGTTCATCAGGTCAACAAGCCATTGCATAGTTGTGGCATTTAGGCAATGGCAAGCTGAAATGAGTCAATTATGTGATGTCACTGTTTAGAAAGCAAATACTGTGCTTGAATAGAGCAATACATGTCAAGTGCCCAATTCAAAAAAAGAGCTCAACACTAGTCAGACCACATTTGGAATGCTATGTTAATTTCTGAGCACTCATATTCTAACAAGAACTTTGTCAGTCTAGAAAGATTTTAGGTGAACATAGCCCAGATGATAAAGTTGTTGTTTTTTTTAATTGTGCCATAGAAAGAATGAGTGAAAGAACTCAAAGTGGCTTTTTTCCTAAAAAGGAGGGCAGATTTAGGCAGCATGTGATGTGGAAGCAAAACTAGACATATTCAATGTACCCTCAAAGAAGAACAATGGTAATAAAAAAACCCATAAAGACGCAAATTTAGATTCAGAATCAGAAAGCTCTGTTCAAGGATACAAAATACCCATAAATAGAACACACGGCTTTTGTAAAGCAATAAACTGTCAGAGACTGGATAAGGCGAAAGGATTTTTAGTTTAAGGGTAAGGTTGAAATAGTACATATCTAAGAATATTTCCAACTCTAATCTATGAGTGTAGCCCCACGGCTATATACAAAGATTGCTGCACTAACTGTTTATCTGGTTTTGTCTTCTAACCTGCTATGTTAAGATTAATCTTATCAAATCCCTATGCACATCCAAAAACTTCTCCAACAGGGTAAAAAGGGAAGACACAGACTGGGAAAAAGTATTTGGTAATGGCATGTCAGACAAGGGACTTATGTCTAGAATTTATAAAATACTGGAGCACCACAAGAAGATAAAGGTAAATAATCCAGTTGATAAATGGGCACAGGATATGAACAGACACTTCATCAAAGAAGACGTAGAGATGGCCAACAAGCACATGAAGAAATGTTCAAGATCCATAGCTCTAAGAGAGAAGCAAATAAAAACAACTATGAGATATCATCTCATCCCAGTCAGAATAGCAAAATTTAACAGAACAGCAAGCAACAAATGCTGGAGAGGCTGTGGAGAGACTGGAACCCTTATTCATTGTTGGTGGAAGTGTAAAATGGTGCAACCACTGTGGAAAGTGGTGTGACGCTTTCTCAAAAAGTTGCAAATAGAGATACCATTTGACCCAGCAATTCCACTACTGGAAATATACCCTAAAGAGACCATAACTGCCATCCAATCAGATATATGCACACCCATGTTTATCGCGGCTTTGTTCACAATAGCAAGGAGTTGGAAACAACCCAAGTGCCTATCAACTAAATGAATGGATAGAGAAGCTGTGGTATATTCACACAATGGAATACTACGCTGCATTGAAAAACAAGGAACTCATGCAATATTATTCAAAATGGGTGACCCTGGAAGACATTATGCTGAGTAGAATATCTCAGTCACAAGAAGACAAATACTGCATAGTGCCACTGTTGTAAAATGCGACTGACATCAGGGTTGGGGTAAGACTGAGAAAAACTGGATATATTATGTATACTGAATTGAAACAGATGAGGGAGATAACAGTTTAAAAGTGATATATGATAGGGTATTATGATTATCACAGGAATTAAGGTTGCATAGTGGAGTGCATTCGGGGTCAGGGGCAGGGGGATTGTAAACCAACGAAGAAGCTTATCTTTTGGTTTTCAAAGAGAGGAACGAATTGGGAGGGGGGGAGAAAAAATAGTGCAACAATGAATGAGTGGAAATCCAAAATCTCTGTAAATGTTCATTAAAATTAATAAAATTTAAGAAAAAAGAAAAAAAGACTAATCTTTCTACTCAACTTTTATTTGCATTCTGTCTCTTCTCCCTTGCATGTGTTTGTGCATGTGCATGCTAGTACACACATGCTCTATAAATGGCTGTCTCCTATCTACTGTGTGATGTCCAAACTTCATTCTTAACTTTTTATGCCTCACTAAATGATCTTTCCTTTTTACTACCTTGTGCCTCCCTCTTTTCCAAAATATTTTCCTCATTTTAAGACATTCTAGCCATATCAAACTCAAGGTTTCGTAAGCATTTCTAAATGAAATTTTTCCAATCCTTTCTTCCACAAATCTAAATGTTATTCCTCCTTCTCTGCCAATTTTTGATCAAAATTTTATCTGACACTTTTTTTTTACTGTTAAAACCTATTGTGTCTAATGGTTCAATCCACCATTTCCAAAATGAAGAAATGGAAATACCTCTAAATAAAATGACTTGTCTGAGTCAAGTTAGTTAGTTAGTAATCAGAAATAGAACTCAAACTTCCATTCCCTCCCCTCCCCTTCAATCTCCTCTTCTCTTCTCTTCTCTTCTCTTCTCTTCTCTTCTCTTCTCTTCTCTTCTCTTCTCTTCTCTTCTCTTCTCTTCTCCTCTTCTCTTCTCTCAACAGATACTGGCTGAATCTAGAGGATATTGTACTAAATGAAATAAATCATTCACAAAAATTACACATATTGAATAAGACCACAGTTTTTTAAAAGGAGCTTGGATGGCTTAGCGGCAAGAAGCTGAGGAAAAGGCTTGAGGTTTTATTCTATTAGCTGCTCAGTGGAAGAAAGATGAGCAATCTCCTCCTGTGAGATTAACTGCCTCTGAAAACCTGCCTATGGGTCAGTTCCAACTTGATAGTACACAACACAATAACAAGGAAAAGTTTACACCTAACTAGAATCATTCTTGGATGGATACCAGGGATAGGAAGGGAGGAAGAGTAGAGTCAAGTTTGTAAATAGGTAATAGGCATATAAAATGGGTAAAGGAAAAGACAATATCTAGTAGGGGTATGACTAGCACCAATAAAGAATGGGAAGACAGAGAGAGATATAGAATGAAAATCAGAATTACTGGAAGTAAGTGGGAAAAGTGAGATTACATTTTGGGTATTGAAAGTAATGTTGTAGAACAAAATATATATGAATGGTTGAATTAAAAATTAAATGGCATTGTAAACATTTACAGAAATCACAACTTAAAAGAAAAAATAAAAAGTTCAGAAACAGTATTAAACTAAAATAAAACAATGGTTAATGAATATTACAAATTTAACCTGTTAAACATTCAGGAGAATGCAAAGGATAGTGACTCCTGTCTCCAGGAATATTAGACAAGGAATACAGTGAGTGTATCAGTTACGGTAAGAAAGTAGAAAGTCCACATAATCTAGTTGGATAGTTGTGAAAATAAGAGTACCCACTTAATATCACCCATCACCACACCAAACTAAACATATATATAAAGAGCACTGTTGGGGAAACACATGACTTGGGACCATAAATTAGGGCTCCACGTTGGCAAAATCTGAAAGTAGCAAAACGCTAATATTATACCCCAGTTGGTGAAATCCTGTTTGTGAGAAAGAAGCCTAAAAAGTTGAAGGAGTTCTTTTTCTCTCCCTACTCTTCTCTTCCCCCATAGGCCAATGTAGACTATGGAATGTGAGTACACAAACTGTCTCATCTCCACTCTTTATCTTGCGAGAAGGCCAAAAATATTTAGCTATGTGAGTGCATCCAATAGCCAAACCTCATATTTTTATGCATAAATAATTGGGAATATGCTTAATACTCTGTCCTCAGGGTTTTAAGGAACTGAGAGACTGTAAACGATTTTAGAATGTAGAATAAATGCAGATTGATAAAGGTGCACAAATAGAAATTCACAGGTATGCTGGAACATTTTCTTCAGAAACCTACAAATAACAGGTGAACCTCAAATATTTGAAAAAAGATTTGTAAGTTCAGCAACAGTTCTTAGCTGCTTTTCCTTTAAGAACTGGTGATTTTAGTGTGACTTCTAGCAGCTCAGCAAATGGCATCTAATCTTGAAAAGTTTGAAAGAGACAAAATTTCTGTGAGAAATTTTGTGAGAACTCAATCCCCATATCGTTTTTATAATCCAGAAAGTTCTAGTCTTATTTCATAAGCACTCCCAAAAGAAAGGTAAAGATTTCCCTGAAAGGAAACTTCCTTTTGATTGAGAGCTTCTTATACTATTTTATTCAAGAATTGCCTTGAAGTTACTGTTGTTATGTGCCATCGAATCTCCTGTAAGTCATAGCGACCTTATGTACAACAGTCCTAAACCCTGCTCTATCCCTTGCCAATATTATTGTCTTTGACATGCCTATCTTCATTACCCCAGTGACTGTCCCTCCACCCTCGCAAGCATGACGTCCCTCTCCAAGGACTGGTCCTTCCTTGCAATAAGTTCAAAGTATGTCAGACAAAATTTCAGAATCCTTGCCTCCAAGCGACAGCCTGGCTTCACCCTCACCAGGACGAACTTGTTTGTTCTAGCATGCCATGGTATATTCAATACTCTTCACCAGCACCATAGCTCAAAGGCATCAACTCTACTTATATCATCCCTAGTCATTGTCCAGCTTTCAGGTGCACTTTAATCTCCGGACTGACATCTTCAATACTTTGCAGAGGTCTCTGACAGCAGACTTTCCCCATGCAATTAGTCTTTTTTTCCTGGCTGCTGGTACCAAAAGTGTTGATTACAGAGCCAAGCAAACTGAAGTTGTCAACAATCTCAATCGTTTAACCATCTATCATGATGCTGTCAATCGGCCCATTCGTGAGAATCTTTGTTTTTTTCATGTTGAGCTTCAATCCATATCGAAGGCTGCAATCCTTGGCCTTCTGCTGCAAGTGCTTCAGATCCTCCTCAGTTTCAGCAAGCAGGGTTATGCCACCTGCATAATGCAGATTGTTGATGAGTCTACCCCCAATACTGATGCCACACTTCTCCTCATAGAGCACAGGCACCCAGATAATCTGTTCTGCATATAGATTGAAAAGATATGGAGATAGGAAACATCCCTGACACACATGACTCCCAGTTTTGAACCATGCAGTGTTTACTTGCTATGCTCTGACAACTGCCTCCTGGTCCAAGTATAGATTTTGCATAAGCACAATTAAGTATTCTGGGATTCCCCTTGTTCTGAGTCAGCCACAGCTTGTTGTGACCCACACAGTCAAATACCTTTGCAGACTCAATAAAACACAGACATTCCTCTGGTACTCTCTGCTTTCAGCCAAGATCCATCTGATATTAGCTATAATATCCCTTGTGCCACAGCCTCTTCTAAATCCAGCCTGCACTTCATCTGTTGATGTGCTGTCATTTTTGGATAATCTTCAGTACAATCTTGCTTGCATGTGATAGCAATGATACTGATGGATAATTTCCACACTCTGTCAGATCACCTTTCTTTGAAATGGGTACAAATATTGATCTCTTCCAGTCAGTTGGCCAGGTGGTTGTCCTCCAGATTTCTTGGCAGAACTTTGTGAGCACATTCAGGACTGCACCTGTTTGTTGAAATATGTCAATCAGTATGCCATCAATTCCTGTTGCCTTGTTTTTTGCTATTTCTTTCAGAGTACCTTGAACTTCTTCCTTCATTACCATGGGCTCTTGCTCATACATTGTTTCATAAAATTCTTCTGCGTCCACCTATTCCCTTTGGTACAATGACTCTATACTCTTACCATCTTCTTTTAATGCTTCCTGGATCATTTCGTATTCTGCCCAAAGCATCCTTAAATATTGCAACTTGAAGTTCAAATTTGTTCTTCAGTTCCTTCAATTCAGCTTAAGAAATGTTGAGTGAGTTTGGTCCTCTTAATTTTCTGGCTCCTGCTCCTTTCACATTTCATTGTAATACTTTACTTTGTCTTCCTGCATTATCTTCTGGAATCTTCTGTTTAACTCCTTAATATCTTGATTTCTTCCCTTTTCTTTGGCTTCTCTGCACTCCAGTAAAATATTTAGAATTTCTTATGACATCTGTCTTGGTCTTTTCTTCCTCTGTCTTTGTAATGACCTTTTGCATTCTTCCTGGATAGTCTTGATATTCTCCCACAGCTTATCCGATCTGTGCTCATTAATGTCCAAGGCCTCAAACCTGTTCCTGAGATGGTTTTGAAATTCAGGTGGGATAGACTCAAGGTCAGATTCTGGTTCCTATGGACTTGATTTCATTTTCCTCGACTTGAGCTTGAACTTGCATTTGAGTAGTTGGTGGTCTGGTCCATAATCAGCACCTGGCTGAGTTTTCACAGCTGATATTGAGCTTCTCCAGCAATTCTTTCCACATATGTAATTGATCTGATTCCTATGCATACCATCAAGTGAAATCTATGTGTATAGCCTGCATTTATATTTCTTATAAAATGCATGCAGTTGCAATGAGTAAGTCGTTGATTGCGCAAAACTCTATCATTCTATCCCTGGCTTAATTTCTGTAACCAAGTCCATGTTTTCCAACTGCTGATCCTTCACTATTCCCAACTTTTGCATTCCAGTCACTCATTATTATTATTATTATTATTATTATTATTATTATTATTATTATTAGTGCATCTTGATTCCATGTTCAATCAATCTCTGGCTGCAAAAGGTGGTAGAAATCTTCTATTTCCTCCTCTTGGGCTCTGGTTGTTGGTGCATATATTTGAATGATGGTGGTATACACTGGGCTTCCTTGTATGTGTATGGATATTATCCTGTCATTCATAACATTGTATTTCAAGACGGATCTAGAAATGACTTTTTAACTATGAAAGCAACCCAGTTTTTCCCTCATCTTTCCATCTCTAACATAGTAGATCATATGATCTTCTGACTCAAAATGTCCCATTTCAGTCCATCTCATTTCATCAATGTGGATTAGTTCTATTTCCTTCTTAACAATATGCAACTTTCCTACAATCATAGTTCTTACAGTCCATATTACAATCACTAGTGTCTGCTTCCAGCTGTTCCTCCTTCTATTTGTTTCCATACTTGAGGGCTCAGCCTCAGTTGCCATATCTGCTAGTCTAAGTGTGCTCTGTTGTGCACAGGGTTTTCAAAGCCCTGCTATTTCTAAGTGGATGGCCAATACTTCTTCCTAGTCTGTCTTAGTTTGATTGCTCAGATTTAAAACATTATCTGACAGACAAATATTTTACAGAGAAGAGCAGTTTAAAGATGTTTCCCAGTAGTAGGAAAAAACCAGTTGTTCCCAGCCTTGGCAGGTGTGTTTTGAGCCACCCCTTTCCCTACTCCACCAGCATTTACATTTACTCCCACCTACTCCATTCAACATCAATCTCCCCTATCCAGCCCTTGATGTGATGGCTTATAGGTCAATCTTTCTGGGCTTCTCTGATTCCTAACACCTCAAGCTGCTGCCAGTTTCTTCCTCTGCAGGCAGTATCTCTTGACATCAGGAATTTTGAAGTTCTCCTCCAGGACTGACTTCTTGTGACTTAGGGAATCTTCTCCATTTATGCTACAAAAGTTTCCCAGGGGAGGTTGATGAATCCTATAGATTTGGTATATAATATTGTCTTCCTGGTCCTTACCTTCATGGTATGGGGTCCTCTGAGAAACTTTCTGCTACATGCGTTGTACCCCCTGGCTCCACCCTTCTGCCCCCATGCTCTGTGCTCCAAGATTTGAAGGTGGGATTAAGATTCTATATAATGATGGTTCTGAACTTTTTTGGCTATTTTAAATATTTTAAGAATCTGGTGAAAGTCAAGAACCCTTACCCTCAAAAAAATCCCCAAAAACATACATTTTAAAAAATGTGCATGATTTTCTTCCGAATTTGAGATTCAGATATCCAGAAGCCCATCTATAGCTATCATTAAGGGTCAGTGGATCTCAAATTAAGAGTGCCCCTTCTATAAATGGAAATCCAAGCTCTTAATCACCTAGTAAACAGGAAGGTAAGGGATATACCTTAAGATTGTCAAATGACACAAAATTCCAAAGAATGTGTAAAATCTGGAAATATAACTGTGACAGCTCCATCCCAGGACCAAAACAAAGAAAAGGAGTGTGAGGAATTGACATAAAACTCTAAGCTTTTTAACTCTGCAAAAATAAAAGCAGAATTCTACAGCAATAAAATATTTTTTTTCTCAAAGAGGAAAGCAAACTGAGAGGCAGGGAAGAAAATGTGCAACAATGAATGAATGGAAATGCAAGTTCTCTATATACTTTCATTTAAACATCAGTTAAAAAATAAAAATAAAAACAGAATATATTTAGAGTAATTCTTGCAGAGTGTAGAAACTGTGACCTTTGGCTGCTATAATTTTTTTCTATTTTCCTTGCCAAACAAATGCTATGGAAGAATATGTACAGCATGGAAACTGTCAGAATACTGAGGTTGGCGGACTCATCTGACTTACTAAAGCTTCTAGAGACTTTCAGTGGCTCTAGAGATGAGGAAGCAGTCTTCATAGAGAAAAATCAGGTCACACACACAAAAAAGATCAAATCTTCAAAACAATTGAGTCATGGCGACTGATACGAGTGGGGGGGGGGAATTCTTCAGGATTGCTGTGGCTGACTCTAAGAAGAATGGGAATCCCAGGACATTTGATTGTGCTAATGCGAAACTTATGCTTGGACCAATAGGCAGTTGTCAGAACAGAGCAAGGAGACACTACATGGTTCAAATTCAAGAAGGGGGTTCGTCAGGGATGTATTCTGTCTCCGTACCTTTTCAATGTGTATGCAGAACAGACCATCCGAGACGCTGGGCTATATGAAGAGGAATGTGATATCAGGATTGGTGGAAGAATAATCAACAACCTGAGTTATGCAGATGACACAACCCTGCTTGCTGAAACTGAGGAGGACCTGAGGTGCTTGCTGCATAAGATCAAGGACTACAGCCTCCTATATGGACTGAAGCTAAATGTCAAGAAAACAAAGATTCTAACCACTGGGCGAATTGGCAGCATCAACATGGATGGTGAAGATATTGAGATAGTTAACAGTTTTAATTTACTTGGCTCCACAGTCAACACTCTTGGTAACAGCAGCCAGGAAATCAGGAGACGAATTGCACTGGGAAAGTCGGCTGTGAGGGACCTCTCAAGAGTACTGAAGAGCAACGATGTCAGGTTGGAGACTAAGGTGCACCTGATCCACGCTATAGTCTTTGCAATTATGTGATATGCATCAGAGAGTTGGACAGTGAATAGGGTTGATAGAAAGAGGATTGATGCCTGACAGACTGTTCCCTGGAATCAAGGATTCTGAAGCTTGGTCTGACATTTTTGGGGCATGTTGCAAGGAGGGATTGGTCCTTGGAGAGGAACATCATGTTTGGCAGAGTGGAGGGGAGGCGAAGGAGAGGAAGACCTTTGGTGAGATGGATCAATTCTGTGACTGCAGCAGTGGGAATAAGTGTGTTTGATATGGCTAGGTTGGCACAGGATAGAACAGCATTTAGAGCTCTTGTACATAGGGTCGCTATGAGTCGCAAGTGACTCGATGGCACATAACAACAACAACAACATAGATCTCATTATCTCAGCATTCTGTATTTTACATTAAGAATATCTACAGCAAATATTCTTGAAGGATAAATAATCCAAAACCTTTCTCAAATGTAGGAGCTGGAAATGAACCAACAGAGACATTTTAACATGGAAAAAAATAACATCCAGGCTAAAATTGTCAAAGTCAGTTCTATGGCGGCCAAAATTACTGTCAGATACCGCTAGATTTCCATGGATCTTTTAACAATTTTCTCTCACTAAGAAAGCCAATACCATGCTTTTTCAAAATTTTTTCATAATTCTTTCAGCAAACTTTATAGTTCCTCTTATATAGTCTGCACTTTTCTAGACACTAGAAACAAAAGAGAAAGCAAAATTAACATGGTTCTTGTTCATAAGGAGCTCACAGTTTTGGGGGCAGTGGGGAAGGAGAAACGCAAACATGTAGTTATAATTAAGTGTTCTAAGTAAATTACTAGAAGTATGAACAAGACACCAGGTAGAACGATGGATGGATAAACTAAATCTGTTTGAGAAAAGAACACTGATTTGGGTCTTAAAGAAAGAGGCTAAGGTAGTTGCCAAGGGAGAGAAGGGCAGAAGGGACACATAAAAGAATCAAGAATTAAAATATCATGCATGTTAGACTATCGGTAGATAATGAAGCATAACATATAACAATTTATTGTTGTTGTTGTTATGTGCCGTTGAGTCGCCTGCGACTCATAGCGACCCTATGTACAACAGCCCTAAACTCCGCTCTGTCCTGTGCCAATCGCAGTCTCTGACACTCCCATCCCAATTATCCCAGTCACTGAATCAATCCACCTCATAGAAGGCCTTCCTCTCCTGCGCCGTCCCTCCACCCTCCCAAGCATGATGTCCCTCTCCAAGGACCGGTCTCTCCTCACTACATGTCCGAAGTAAGTTAGACGGAGCCTCAGAATCTTTGCCTCCAAGGAGCCACCCGGTTTAACCCTCTCCAGGACAAATCTATTTGTTTTCCTAGCAGTCCATGGTATTCTCAGTACTCTTCTCCAGCACCACAGCTCAAAGACATCAATTCTCCTTCTATCCTCCTTGGTCATTGTCCAACTCTCTGATGCATAACAGGTGATTGCGAAGACTATGGTCTGTATCAGACGCACCTTAGTCTCCAGAGAGACACCACTGCTCTTCAGCACTTTGGAGAGGTCCCTAACAGCAGACTTTCCCATAACAATTTAAACAAGGAAAATGAGTGCTTCAGTTAGAACTATTGATCTTTCAATGTCAACACTCTATCACACCTAAGAAAGTTATAACTAGGGATTAGAATGTTTTAGATGACCTATAAAGAGTCTTTTAACTTTATATTGAGGCTGTCAAGTACTTTTCTTTGTGGAAGTCTTTATCTTTTGTCTTAAATGCAATTAATTAAAAATATGAAATATAAACTTCACTGCAAAAATGCTAATTTCTGTGAAAGCAATATGATTGCCTACTCTTCTAGGTCGTATAGCCCTGGCCTGTCCACTTGCTGTACAGAGAGGAAACTCATGGTTGCTATGAAGCTGAACACTGTGACAGTGACCTGTCAAATGTGAGAATGGTTACCCACTGCGGACAGTGTTTGGTGGAGCTCCCCGATTGAAACAAGCTTGGAAGCAGGAGTGGCATCCACTTCAGAAGTAGTTTGCCTCTGGACACCCTATGAACCTGGAGAAAGGACGAAA